AATTATATTTAACAAATGGTCATGCAGAAATGCAAATCAGCAATTCTAAGTAATATAAAAGTACATTTAATATAATTTAACTATATTAATTTAAAATATATATAATAAAATAAAAATATACATGAATACGTTTCTGCATTCACCTGCAACCTAGCAACACATAGCCAGACACTTGCAACAAATATAACATTATCATAACAGAAATTTACATTTTTCTCTGTTAACTCTTCTTGAAATGTTAATCGCGCTGTGGTGATATTCCATGGATTTATTTTTCAGCCAAACAATTTTACGTTCCAAAAATTTGCACCTTCTCTATCTATCTAAGTTCTCTGGTTTAATGTGCTGTTTATTATGCATTTCAACGGTGGAGAAAAAATGTGCAGTGGTTAATTAGATAAATCAAATTTTTAACGAATCTAGCTATTTTTTCAATGTTTGTGCTGGTGGGAATGTGTGTGGACTATGTGTTTTGACAGCCGTTATCGATAAAAATTAGATTAGACAGCGATTTGTTCTTGATTCGCATGTTTATTGGATCTGAATCACCTACGAATGAAGTGATTCGCTCTCAAAATTTTGTATGGCCAATTACGTGATTCGGTTCGTAATTGGGGCGCCAATCACGAATGAGAGAGCGAATTACGTATGGAACAGCGAATCACTTGTCGTGGAAACATCGTTTTAATTACATATGAAAAAGCATCCGAAACGTGCAAAATGCCATCCGTGCAGAGAAAAATACTTCATTTTAACACGGGCGTTTTTGAAATTAATATTTCCATTATGTTAAATATTTTTAGAAGCTTACATACAAATCACCCAATTTCCTACCGAGTTGCTTATGCAAAGCGGTTCTCTTGTGCTCACCAACACAGTCACAGTTTTACTTTTGCCGATCCCTGATTAGCCCAGTAAAATTAGACTTTTTCTTTAAAAAAATGTGTAACAGCAATTTTTTGATGCAGTTTACTTCTATTTGACACGTAGATCATGGATCCACAGTCTTGCCCCTAAACTTCATTTGGCAACATTCCGCCATCTTGGATTTAAGTTTTTTTTTTGTTTTTTTGCGATTTTCAAGCTTATTTTGCATTTTTCGTAAAAAATGGTTAAACACAAATATGTAGAGAATTCAATTTCCCACATTTGTGTTTGGTTTTTACCATTTGACAATTTCTGTTGAAAATACATAGCATATTGAAATTACAAAGTTGTAGAGAATTTTAGTATTTAGTCTTTTATACCTACATTTTTTTTTGTACGACGCTTAGATCACGGCCTAGAACGTGCCAAACATAGCGATTAGCCCAGTAAAATTACATAAATTTGGTAGGAAAAAAATAGAAAAAATTTGTAACAGCGTAGATCATAGATCCAGAGTATTGCTCCTAAATTCCATTTGGCAACATTCCGCCATCTTAGATTTATTTATTTTTTGTTTATTGCAATTTGCTTATTTTGCATTTTACGTAAACACTGGTTAAATACAAATAAGTAGAGAATTTAATTTCCCACATTTCTTATAGAGAAGGTTTTTTAAAAATGGCATATTTGTATTCAACCATNACTTCATTTTAACACGGGCGTTTTTGAAATTAATATTTCCATTATGTTAAATATTTTTAGAAGCTTACATACAAATCACCCAATTTCCTACCGAGTTGCTTATGCAAAGCGGTTCTCTTGTGCTCACCAACACAGTCACAGTTTTACTTTTGCCGATCCCTGATTAGCCCAGTAAAATTAGACTTTTTCTTTAAAAAAATGTGTAACAGCAATTTTTTGATGCAGTTTACTTCTATTTGACACGTAGATCATGGATCCACAGTCTTGCCCCTAAACTTCATTTGGCAACATTCCGCCATCTTGGATTTAAGTTTTTTTTTTGTTTTTTTGCGATTTTCTAGCTTATTTTGCATTTTTCGTAAAAAATGGTTAAACACAAATATGTAGAGAATTCAATTTCCCACATTTGTGTTTGGTTTTTACCATTTGACAATTTCTGTTGAAAATACATAGCATATTGAAATTACAAAGTTGTAGAGAATTTTAGTATTTAGTCTTTTATACCTACATTTTTTTTTGTACGACGCTTAGATCACGGCCTAGAACGTGCCAAACATAGCGATTAGCCCAGTAAAATTACATAAATTTGGTAGGAAAAAAATAGAAAAAATTTGTAACAGCGTAGATCATAGATCCAGAGTATTGCTCCTAAATTCCATTTGGCAACATTCCGCCATCTTAGATTTATTTATTTTTTGTTTATTGCAATTTGCTTATTTTGCATTTTACGTAAACACTGGTTAAATACAAATAAGTAGAGAATTTAATTTCCCACATTTCTTATAGAGAAGGTTTTTTAAAAATGGCATATTTGTATTCAACCATTTTATACGAAAAATGCAAAATAAGTCTGTACATCGCAAAAAAACAAAAAAAAGTGAAATCTAAGATTGCGGAATGTTGCCAAATGAAATTTAGGGGTAGGAATACTGATCTACGTGTCAAATAGAAGTAAACTGCATCGAAAAATCGATGTTAATACTTTTTTTCCTACCAAATTTATCTAATTTTACTGGGCTAATCGCTATGTTTGGCACGTTCTCGGCCGTGATCTAAGCGCCGTACAAAAAACATGTAGGTATAAAAGTTGTGAAGAATAAAATTCTCTGCAACTTTGGAATTTCAATATGCTATAAATTTCAACAGAAATTGTCAAAAAATGGCGAAAACCGTGACAATGTAAAATTTTTTCCACAGTTTTTGCTAATTTTTTACAATAAAAAATGCTATTTTTAAAAAACCTTCTATACAACAAATGTGGGAAATGAAGTTATATATTTGTATTTAACCATTTTTTGCGAAAAATGCAAAATAAGCTTGCAAATCGCAAAAAGCCCAAAAAAACTTANAATTTTTAAAAAACCTTCTATACAACAAATGTGGGAAATGAAGTTATATATTTGTATTTAACCATTTTTTGGGAAAAATGCAAAATAAGCTTGCAAATCGCAAAAAGCCCAAAAAAACTTAAATCCAAGATGGCGGAATGTTGCCAAATGAAATTTTGGGGCAAGACTGAGGATCCATGATCTACGTGTCAAATTTTTTTCAAATTTCCCACCAAATTTATCTAATTTTACTCGACTTTGATGTAGATCTGCAATTTGTATTGAATTGTTAATACTTACGTTCGCTAATATTGTCAAGTGGTACATCGCTTGTTTCTCAAAGTCGAGTGGGCCCAGCAAAAAAACGGTACCTTCTGTACTTTCTGCTGATACAATCTTTTGCCTGATTGCGAAAAGCTGAGAGCCCTGAAATTAGAAGGTGTATTAGTTATTAAGCAGGCTATGTACATATTATGGGTTCTTTGAATAAAACTTTAATATTTCTATTTGACTAAATTTGGTATTAGTCAACATTTTTTACTTTCCGTAAATTAATGCTGTTGATATGTTCATGATAAGGCATGTTCAACAAGTGCTTGTACATTAGGGTGGTCAAAAATGCATGTGAAAAAGTAAAGTGGGAATTTTTATGCTCTATACCGAAAAATACCCAATTTTTTTTATTTTGTAATAAAAAAATATTTAGAGGTCGCTCAAAGCGCCCAATGTTTTACATGTATTTTATATGGGGAAAACCCACTTTTCGTAGAAATGGTATAGAATTATTAAAAATCAATATTTTCCTATCGGAAAACTCTGCTTATCTGCAGAAGATTCCCAATAATAATACCCTATCCTTTATTTTATTTTTTTTTTTTAATATTTCATATTTCATTTATTTCAAAAAACATTAGTACAATAAGACTTAGTCTTTTTTAGTACAACAGGTTCATACAAATTACAAATTATAACAATAGAATATTAAATGTAACAACAAATATCGAAAGTAATCTAGATAAATATTACAAATACAGATTGGTTCATCAATTTGAAGAGAAGTGGGTATACAGAATAGCTTTAAAGTTGCTTTTGTTAAGTTTGCTTCTAACATTAATCGGAATGGAGTTCCAGATTCGTATAGCGTTAATGAAAAACAGTCTTGTGGAATTGTTAAATTTGTATAGAGGTAAGATTAAGTCGTATGATCGCTCCGACTTAGAAAAGATAAGTTTTTCATATAAGTAATAAGGTATCTTCGTATTCATAAGTCGGAAAAGGAAAATGCAGTTTCTGGCCTTTATGTAGTCGGAGATTTCACACCCCAGCAAGGAAGACCTCAAGGCGGATATATGGTCAAATTTACGAATACCAAATACGTACCGAGTAACATGATTAAATAAAATGTCAATTTTATGGGCAGAGGCGGAATCAAGTTTGCTGTATACCAACACTGAGTACGTTATTATAGGTACAATTAACTGACATGCTAGCATTCGTCTAGTGGCAACTGGAGTGAATGATGTCGAAAGCCTCAGATTCCTAAGTATTCCATATACTTTGCTCACTACAGAGTTAATATGATCACAACAGCCCCAAGTTAGTTATTTTGGTAACCAGTTTTAAGGATTGATTATATAAATATAGCGAAGGGATACTGTCGATATTAAATTTCTTCTTGTAGACTGGTAATACATAAGACTTGGAGGGATTGAGACAAAGTCCGTTCTTAGTAGCCCAACGTAAAACAGAATCTAAGTCTTTGTTTAAATTTATGGCAATAACATCCTTATTTTCAAAGCGGCCGGAGAAATAAAGTTGATATCCTCAGCATACGCATGCATGCTGGCATACCTGCATGTCTGAAAAATATCATTTATAAATACACTAAATAATAAAGGACCCAAAATGGACCCTTGTGGAACGCCCCGCATCAAAGGCTTAGCGTGCGATACTGTCGACCCAACTTTCACTCGCTGATACCGGCCCATTAGGTAGCTCTTCATGAGTGTTAATGCTGATTCCCCAAACCCGAAGTAATATTTGAGTTTTGAGCAAAGCAGTGAATGGTCAACTGAGTCAAATGCCTTAGTAAAGTCAAGCAAGCATAAGAGTGACAATTCACCTTTGTCAAAGTTAATTCTAAGATCATCAAGAATTTTAACCATAGCTGTTGAACATCCATGCCCTGCTCTAAAACCTGACTGAAGTGAAGATAAGAGGTTCTTATTTGATAGGTGCGAGGAAATTTGCTCAGATATTATCGATTCAAATACTTTGGATAGGGCAGGAAGAACACTTATAGGTCGGAAGTCACGAGGAGTCCAAGCATGTTTGCATTTTGCAATGGGACAAACGGAAGCGACTTTCCACGGGCTAGGAAAACAGGATGTAGTAACGCAGTGATTAATTATGTGAGTCAAAGGACCGATAATGTACGACAGGGCAGTTTAATAAAGCGAAGAGGTATACCGTCCTCCCCAACTGCGTTAGACTTAATTTGGTAAATACATTTCATAACATCCGACTCAGGCACAGTAGAAAAAACAAATGGTACATCTGAATATAGAGATGAACTACAAGGAACAAAGTCTGACGGAGAAACAATGGACGATACACTACTTAGGAGAGCATCGTTGATGCTATTCGCATCTAAAGAGCACTCAGTATTATCCTTAGGGTGTACCCGAAGGGTTTTAATATTGCGCCATAGCTCGCCGGAAGATAGAGAAGGGTCAAGTTTAGATGTGAAATATCGGCGCTTCTCACTTCGAATGGTATGGGTGGCACTATTTCTTGCCGTGCGAAAGACATCCCAATTGTTCTGCGAACTATTTATTTTCCAAACACGATACGCTTTTGTACGGGCTTTTATAGCAGTTTGAACCTTAGAATTAAACCACGGACACGATTTAACTTTTGCATGACGGATAGGAATGTGAGCATTAAAAATAGTTGATAAGTTAAAGTTAAGGAAGTCAAGTTTTTCATTAGCCGTCACGAGATACCAGCAGGTACGCCAATCAACGTTGCTAAGATCTTCACAAAGTGCATTCACATCACACGAACGAAAGTCCTTAAACGTGTACATCTGCTCTGGGCTGGAGCAGTTGAAATCAATATCTACCGCACAAAAGATCATGTCATGGTCAGAGATAAATGATAATTCATCAAATTTTAAAACAGAAGAACAGTCCGAAACGATAAAATAGTCAAGAAGACTGGGATTACAGTTATTACCATATCTAGTCGGTACTGAAGTATTAATAATCGACAGGCCAAGACTAAAAAGATTTTCCAACAGAGCACAACACAAAGAATCACGTACAAGAATATTAATATTGAAATCACCGCATATTATTATATTGTCGTAGTCAATTATCAAAGGGGATAGACTATCAAAAAATGGAGTAAGGGAAACGGTTTTGCTGGGGTTATAGACACACGAGACAAAAACCTTGCTGACACGGTTAGACAATTCAACGAATAAAAATTCTACACCCCCGTTCTTGGAATGACAGACAGGTCGAATATAAATGTGGCTCTTACAATAAATAGCAACACCACCGCCTTTTTTACCCACCCTGTAATTGCGTAATAATTTATAACCATTAATATTAAAGTACGAATCGCCCGCACTGTTATTAAACCAAGTTTCTGAAATACATATGACATCGATAGAGGAAGACTCCAAAAAATNGGCTATTCAGACTTCTTGCGTTAAAATGAACAACCTTAAGGCCTTTCTGTTGATTACACAGAATGTTTAGCACCGCAAGACTGCCATCGCCAACGCTATCACTCTTGCTGGTCAGAGACATAATGCAAAAAACACACAAAAGCAACTTTGACACAAATGTACATATAAACGATAACATATACAAATAAAGCATGAAACAAAGAGATGAACCAATTTTACATTAGAATTAAAAAAAACATAAGCTAAGAGTAAATGGATAAAACATTAAAATAACATGTATAAGGCAACAGTAATACTGCGTGTTAGCAGAGACCTTTGAGATCATCATGTGTGCTGACTTTGACTACCGCTGAGTCCCTTGAAGTTTTAATGAAAACGTCACCACGTAAAGTAAACACAGAAGCCAGATTACCAACTCTCGGATGGCTTCTTGTAAAATTTTCCTTTTATCTCTTGTCAAGCTCTCGTAAATAGAGAATTTCCCATCAAGGTCAATAGCATCCAAAGATATTGCGGATTTAGTCCGCTTACGATGCTCACTAAATGCACGGAGCGTCCGATTTCGATCGAGCGGAGAGTGGAACTTGACAATAATTGCACTATTAGGATTGCTGTTGTTGGGTTTAGTGCGAAAAATGTCACGTATTTGTGGGACAAGAAAATCAATGGAGAGACAAATACGGTTGAACGCACTCTTTAGGTTTTCCCCTTCAGCATACGGCAAACCAAATATAATAGCGTCAGCAGTCACTTCGGGAGTACGCGAACTTACAGTCTCTATATGTGTAAACAGTTTCTGTACTTCACTTTGGAGCTTTTCTTGTTTCTCTTCTAAGGCAGAGATGCGCTCAGCAGACTCTTTTACTTTCGTGGAGAGTACAGAGATTTCAGCGTCAATCTTTTTACATAGGGCGCTCTCAATTTCCCCAATTCTATTTGAGAGACTATCAAAAAGTGTCTGCAATTTGTTCGGTTTGTTGTTGTACTTTGCCTTCAAGCTCTTTAAGCAGTTTAACCATTTTTCCATCGCAACTATAATTTATAGGTCCGCCATAAACCCAGGAAGACTTGAAAAAAGCAATGGGGGGACAAATAAAAAATCGTTAGTATTAAAAAATGGTTAAATAAACAATTGGGTACTATTATTGAAAGTCTGCTGAAGAGAACAAGAGTATTTCGATCGAAAAATATTTATTTTCAAGAATTCTATACCATTTCTACAAAAAGTTGCTTTTTTCCCATATAACAATACACGGAAAACTTTGAGCGCTTTAAAAGACCTCTAAATATTTTTTGATTTCAAAAATAAAAAATAGGGGTATACCTTTTTCGATATACTTAGAACAAGCCTAGAGGGTGAGAGCATTACAATTCCGACTTTTTTGTTTTTGGACCACCCTATTGTACATACATACATAGATATTAGAGTTGCCACTTTAGTTCTTTTGAGTGAACCGGTCAGTTGTAGTTCGCTCACCTTAGTGAACTAGTTCTTTAGTTCAGTTGACGAATCATATTAATATCATACTTATTACACACAAACCACCCACTTTAGTAATTTGAATTCAAAGAATACTTTTAAAAACATAACAAGTAATAAAGAGTCTAAGTTCGGTCGGAGCCGAACATTAGATATCCGGTGCAAGTATCAAATATAGTCATTTTCGTTGGTGATGTTTCCGACAGGGTAGGAGTGTGATATAAATGACGGAAAATCGTTCCA